CACTTAATTTTGGAGCTGTTGTTGAGTTGTGCTAATATGAAGTTCTCTTATTCATTAAAAGACTTTAAACAGATCACCAAAAAAAAAAAAAATAGTTCAAAGAATGAATCTCTTTTCCATGATGCTTTTGCTGTGTAATAAAAGTCCCTAAAGGTCTTTAATTTACAGACACACATTCCATTTCCTCATGCTAAACCTCACGTTAGCACTGAGTAAAATCACAAACATGAGAGTTGCTTCTTTCGAAACCTTAAATTACAAGAATGAAGCCACATGGTCAACTTTGATCGTTTAAACTTTAGTAATAAGGTCATAATAATGTGAATGTGGCTTGAAATAGAAGTTCTGTTGAAAGGAGTATTTTTTTCTCTAATAATAAATCTGACAAATTGCCAAGTTAAAATGAATCAGTGCTTGATGTAACAATGCACTATATTGCTCATTTCCTATATTTTTGGTTCTTAGAAAGTTTCTGAGCCCATATAATGAAGGAGCTACACTCTAGAAACCCACCGAATCAAACAGAGTCCTTCAGACAAAAAAGGAAAACCTTTTTCCAATGCCTGTGGCCAATTCATTGTCTGCTTGAGCCAAAAGACTCAATATGAGAAAGAGCCTAGATATTTTTGTGAAGAACCAAATAATAAATTCTTGCAGTCACATTGAGGTCAACAACTTTCAATGTTTATCATATTAAAAGAAAAACCATCATATCATCAGTAGCTTCACACACCATTAATTTTCTTCAGAGGGTAAAAGAATAAGTTACTAATTCCAGAGAGGTTTTTTTTTTTTTTTTTTTTTTCCTGCTAATTCCAGAAATTGTACTTCTCTGTGTTATGTGTGTATGTGTCTTTGGGACCAGGGGGTTGGGTGGATATGTGTCAGTAACAGTTTTGAGGAACTATCCAGAGGAAATAAAACTGGAAAAAGATCATAACAAAGAGATCTATTATAGTGTGAGTTGAGAGAAAAACAGCAAGCTGAAAGCTTACATAAGACATAGAATATGTTTGGATGAGTAAGAATGTATCTAAATGGTGAATATACTTTAATTGTTAAAATTTAAAAAAATTAAATATTATATTAAAAGTCACAAATCAGAGAGTTTGTAATTATACTTTCATTAACTAATTCAAAAAAATATTTACTGGCAATGTTCTATGTGTTCAGGCATTTAGATAGGTGTTATACGAACAGGAATGTTCTCTGAGAAAGTAATATTCAACAAATAGATTCACACGTACAATCATTCCAACACAATAGAAACTCAGTTCTTGCCCTTGTGACACAGAAGGCGGGGGTTTGTCAGCAGAAATCCCTCCTCCATGCTCTCTCTCATGAAAGAGGCTGAAAGAGGCTCTGTTATCTGTAATATATGGCTTCTAAGATCACCCTGGGAGTTGTCTCCATTTTATCTGACTGGAATGAAAGAGAAAACAAAGGAGCAGTGCCAGGGACATTTAATGAGCCAGTTTTATAAGTGACTCAATCCTCACCTACTCACATTGCATTGGATAGAACTGGTCACAGGATCCCAGCTAGATATAAGCAAGCCTGGAAAATTTTGCCTTGCGCTTTCCATGAAAAACTCCATAACATGGAATATGAAACATGTGTTTTTGATGGACAGTTACTATCTCTTCCACAGTCTATCTTTCACTCCACCAAATATTACCCCATATCTCATTACAAAGGATGCCAGTCAAAGTCCAATCCAGTCACCGCATCTAGTACAAAGTCCAGGATACCTAAGTGATGCATAGTCTTTTCAATTAGGTGTAGAGGTGGCTTCTCATAATCTAAGGACTTACATACTAAAAGGGTAATTGTTTTCATCCTCCAACTTGCTCCTTTTACAAGGATAATAAAAAATACCATTTCAAATGTTGAAGAATACAAAATCCACAGCAATCACCCATCGATAGCAATCAAGCAATCATGGCATCCTCACTGGTAGTCATTGTGCAGATTGTCACCCTGGCAGTGACAGAAGAGCCTTCATTTTCTCAGGTTATGTTATGGGAAAGAAACTCTATTGTTCATCTATTGCTCAGATCTATATCTAAAGGGGACTGTTGAAGAGTATGCCCTCCTGACACCTGCACAGTTTCCATGGCTACTTGCCTGTGACACATACAAATTAAGTAGGGAGGGAGTTATTACAAGGGCTTGAATAGACAAAGACTTCTTTGGTTCAGGCTCACATTTCTTTGAAAACACAATTCTTTCAAAAGCAGTAGGCTTCAGTCAGTCTCAGATACCACTAACTACAATTTGTGTTTTCTCTCAGACATAATTCTCTAGTTTGATTTATTTTCTTGCTTCCACATTCCTTTATGTCTCTCCGTAGTGGCTATCTTGAGGCCATGAGTGGAAGGGGAGAATTTTTAACATAAATTTTTCAAAGTTGAGTTTCTCTGTTTAACGAGAACCCTTGATGAACCTTTGTTACTATGTCCTTTTTTTTTTTTTTTTTTTGAGACAGAGTCTCACTCTATTGCCCAGGCTAGAGTGAGTGCCGTGGCGTCAGCCTAGCTCACAGCAACCTCAAACTCCTCGGCTCAAGCAATCCTACTGCCTCAGCCTCCCGAGTAGCTGGGACTACAGGCATGGGCCACCATTCCCGGGTAATTTTTTCTATGTATTTTTAGTTGGCCAATTAATTTCTTTCTATTTTTAGTAGAGATGGGGTCTCGCTCTTGCTCAGACTGGTTTTGAACTCCTGACCTTGAGCGATCCACCCGCCTCAGCCTCCCAGAGTGCTAGGATTACAGGCATGAGCCACCACACCCATCCTATTATGTCCTTTTTAAGTCTTGTTTCCTGCTATTAAAGTTTCTAGATTATCTCTCTCTTATTTCTTTTTATGAATCAGCCAGTTCTTGCCCAAGCTAATTGTTTTTATTTAATATTTTCCATACATGAAAGCAAATATCAACCATGCTACTAACATTCTGCTCTGCAACCTCTTTTAGGACTGCCAATTTTATATGCACTTGCTCTGTCTTATAAATTGTTGATTAGTAAGGGCAGACTAGCTGCCATAAAAATTAGATTCCAAAATTTACACTAGCTTAAATATAATAGGAGAGTATTTCTATTCATGTAAAAGTACTGGTTAGGCAAACAGGTTAGTGGAGTTGGGGTCGCCTTTGTCCACCCAATTATTTAAGTACTAATTCTGATGTTGCCTCTGACATCTTCCATGTTGGTTTTAAGGGCACCCACGGGTCATCCCAATTCTAGCCATACAGACTATGCAGAGGGTGTGAGGGCGCATGAGTGAGGATTTTAATACCCCAAACTCAAAATGGCACTTGCAATGTCTGCTTATATTCCCTTGGCCACAACTAGGTACATGGCTCTAGTTAGCTGCAAGGGAGATGGGAAATGTACTGCTTCCCTTTGACAACTCTATGCCGGGAAGGCAGAACACATTTTTTGATGGATACTTAGCGAGATCTGTTACCTGTCATGATTTTATAGATGAGAACAAGTGGAAGCCATCTGAAGGAGGTTGATGGTGCTATCTCTCCTTTGAAGAAACATTTCAGGCAAAGCAAATTGATGTGAGAAGACTTGAAGTCTCTTTGGGAGAGACATGTGGAAAGATTGTGTTTTGATGCTGTTGTTATTTTAAATGTCTCAGAGAAGACCACTGTGGCTAAAGTATTGTGAGAAAAGTAGAAAAGGGAAAGGTGAGAGGTAGAGAGGTAGACAGAAAACAAATTAAGCAAGCAAAGTCATTAATAATAAATTTAAATTGTATTCTAAACACAATAGTTTAAACCTTGTTTTAAGGTAAAAATAAAATTTAAAATATCTTAAAGATTGTATCAGAGTTAAAAACATTATCTGTTTGCTACAGAGACATGGTATTAGATATAAGAGTAGAGGGGAGAACATCAGAGTAGTTTTGATAAGATGCTAAGGAAGGTACAGAAGAGAACCAGAGAAGGAATCTGGTTCCTCCCATCTCTCTCATTAAGCCATTAACTGGGCTCAACATGAATCAACCAGATAGTCATTAAGTTAGATGTGAGAAATGGTATCTGAAAATCGAGGCTTCTTTTCTCACATAAATAGAAAACTTGGAAGCAAGGATCTCACTTGGGCAAAGAATATAATTGTATGACTTTTCACTCTTTCTACACACACTCAATATATTTTTACCTTTTGATTATTTTTATTTCTTCATATTAAAGATAGAGGTATATTTTTCTTAACTGAAGCTTCTATATACGAGGATTAGAGATCTTATGGACATGTAGAAGAATGAGTATTTTCATGTTTTTGCCTGGGTAGAACTTTCAGAGAAAAGAAAACTAGATCTTGTATTGAAGAATAAATCTTGGAAGTTAAAAGGTGACTGAATTTAAACATTTTATTTTGTGGGTGTTTGTTTACATATCAAAGGGTGAACCTTAGAGCCATCTCTTTACATTCCCATAGATCCAAAGGATTTAAACCATTAGGGTCTGCAGGGTGGCTCTCGCCTGTAATCCTAGCACTCTGGGAGGCTAAGGGGGAGGATTGCTTGAGCTCAGGAGTTCAAGAGAAGCCTGAGAAAGAGCTGAGACTCCATCTCTACTAAAAATAGAAAAAGTAGGCGGGCATCAGTGGTGTGCGCAAGTAGTCCCAGCTACTCAGGAGGCTGAGGCAGTAGGATAGCTTAAGCCCAGGAGTTTGAGGTTGCTGTGAGCTAGGCTGACGCAGAGCACTCTACTCAGGGCAACGGAGTGAGACTCTGTCTCAACATCATCATCATCATCATAATCAATCATTAAGGAACGAAGATTTCTCTCTCTTCCTCAGGAAGAGAAGGGACGCCGTGGAGCCTATATAAATTCACACATTTATAGTTTTGAGCTTCCTCTCCTGTGGTGCAAAAAAATACTTTGCCCATAGATGGCCTATCTGGCTGTCATTGCATCACCCTGAAGGGGGAAGAATGGAACATCAAGAACAGTTGTTCCTCCTCAGGGTGGCACCTGCATCGGACAGTGGCGTCTGGGTGCCTGGGCGAGGGGTGGAGCTTGGAGGTGATCTGGAGCAGCCAGCGGGCTAACACTTGTACCCATCCGACTCGGGGATCTCCACAGCAGGCCACACTTGAGGAAAGGGGGCAGTGACATCAACTGGGGTCAGAGCCTAGTGAGGTCGAGGTCAGTCATCTATACCGCAGCAGCGCCATTTTGCCCAAACGGGTGAACGAGTTTTTCGGCTGTTAACGGAAAAAAGCCAAACTCTGTAAAATAATTTTAAAGAGATTTATTCTGAGCCAAATTTGAGGACCATGACCCAGAGCCACTCCCAAGAAGACTTGAGCTAGTGGTCTCGCTGTGGCTGGGTTACAGTTTAGTTTTATACATTTCAGGGAGACAGGGGTTATAGCTAAAGTCATAAATCAATATATGGGAGGCATACATTGGCTTGGCCCAAAAAGGGGGGACATCTGGAAGGGGGGGCGCTTACAGGTTACAGTTGGGTTTAAAGATTCTTTGGCTTATAATTAAAGACATGAAGCTTTGTCTAAAGGCTTGGAATGTTTCAATCTAAGGAGCTGTTATCAGAGATAAGCCAAGGGACATAGATTTGTTGTGTAAATTGAGGACATGCAGATTTGTCTTGCATACTCTTAGGCCTGTCAATGGGTCACAAAGGATGTCTCCTAGAAGGGAGGGGAGCATGATGAGGCATGTCTGACCTCCCTCCTCCTAGCAGACAATTTAGTTTCAGGATATTCCTTTGGCCTCAAGGGGGTCCATTTAGTCAGCTGGTGGTGGTGGGGTGAGCCTTAAAATTTTATTTTCATTCACATCGCCTTCTCCACGTGTTCTCCATTGTGACCCCCTTTCTCTATGTCTGGATGCTCAATAACAAGAACTTTGCCACTCTACTTGAGGAACACGACATTTTTGTTCCAGAGGACAATGATGATGATGACTAAGAAGGCGTGGAGGAAGTACAGAATGGAGAAGGGACTAGCTTAAGACATAATGATGCTCTCAGCCTCTCTTCCTACCCTGTCACCAGGAGGACTCAGGGAATGCCCTCTGCCCTCCCAGGACAGGGAAATCTCCTGCATGGTCTGTGACCACAGCCCAGATCCCCAGGCTCTGGGAGGTTCCCTGAGATGTGCTGTTCACTGAGCACTGGAAAAACCAGCAATCTAATATGAATAAATATAAACATCAGCTAACAACAACAACAAAAAAGAACTAATATAGTTATTGCTATAAGTGGTAACATCCCAATCCCTGATCCAGAGACTTGGTGTCTGCTTTCAGAATAAGATAAATAATTACCAATATTAAAAACATATCAAATTGATCAAAGGAAATCCTTTCAAAGATTATATATGACAGATAGGTGTAAAATTACTAAGAAGGAAGAAACACATAAGAGTAGTATGTACCTCTTAAAATAACATCCATAAGAATGAAGCTCAGAACAAATTGAGACTTGTGAAACATAATAGGAATAATACTAAGGGATTTGTAGATATTTCTTAAGCAAGAAGATTACAATGAAGAAGAGGTTGTACCATTAAGAAAAAACAGTGGATAATCTATTAATAAGAAAAATAATCTTTAGGCAAGGTACTTTGGCAGTTAGTTACAATACCTTTGTAGAATTTTAGAAATGGCCTAAAAGTTGTGAGGTAGATTTCTGTCAGGTTCTAAAATTTTACATTGCAAAATTAGTTAATTATTAGTAAAAAAATTGATGGTTATTAGCATCTTGTGGAGAACATTAACCACCATTATACCATGAGATTTGATTTTGTTTCACAGTTTAATCAAACCAGAAGGTATATCTGCTCATTTGAATAACAGAATTATGATTCAAAATTATCTCAGTGAGGTAAGCCAAAAACCAGAACTTTGGAGATAATTTGTAAGTTCTCAATTGGATTCAAGAAGACTAGTTACAAAAGAGGGGAAACGTGAATTAATAATAGTGTATTTGAACTTATCTTTGGAATTAGAACCCAATGTTTGTCATGACAGCTAGACTCTTAGCTAAAACATAGTGCCATAGTGCCATAGCACTATGACTATATAACTAAGACATGTAGAGGAAGCCATAGAGTTGTCTGAGCCTGTGCTTTTCTCATTTGTATGTATGGCATCAAATTTAAAAGAATTTCAGGAGTGTGTTACATCATTGTCATTCCAGCTTTACAACATTGCTTCTGGTTTTTTGAGAGAGATGTTGCCAGACAAAGAAAGTATCCTGAGAACAACAGCTAGGATGTGGCAGAAAACAAAAGGTAAGTAATGCTACCCTAGAATTCATGATAGTGGTCAGGGGGATATCAGCTACATAAACCGTTGTTATGTTGACTCTAAAAGGGAATGCATGTGAGGAAACAGGTGGGAACTTTAAAATTCACATGATGTGTATCAGTTAATTATATGAACTGAATGTTTAGAAAACAATAGCATAGGTTAGAAAAGAGTTATAGTGACAAACATTTCAAACCCATTATTTTATTTGCAACATTTTTTGAATTAATCTTAAAAATTGGAAGTGCTGCCTTATGGAAAATCAGTTTTGGTACAGAGGAAAATGCTAGGACCAGCAAGTTGATGTTAGTAACACAGAAGCATAATTTGCAGTAATAAAAGAAAACTCTTTTCAACTCTGAAAAGCATTCCCTTAGAAAATAGAGTGTGCCAAGTCCCTGGAAATGCTTACGCTAAGCTGGAAAACCATCTAACTGGAGATGGGATTCCTGTAAGATAACTTCCGAGAACTTTTTCAAATATAATTCATTATTTTAGTAAATAATACAATCCCATGTGGAGAATAAGTCAGAAATAAAGAAATATCCAAATATTATGAAAATATTTACTTAAATTTGCAAAGGACAATGTTAGAGTAGAATCTGGAAATCATGTCTCTGGGAAGATTTTCAGGAATGTAAGAATCAAGGGATACTAAATGAATTTTGCAAGAAAATCATTGAAGCTTGAAAAATAAAATCTACAAAAGAAAGTAAAATTACAACTTTAGTGCTTTCCCAGCATAACCATAGATTTATGGGTCAAAATTTCCAAATCACTAATATAGCTTAAATTTTTACATTTTAATATATTATATGAATATCACATGATACATACAAATGTAACAGATTATGCATATCGTCCATATGCAGGTTTCTATCTCACTTAGAAATAAGTAGAATTTCCCCAAGTGATATAGATTTACAGGTTTTAAATTTTAGTATCATTTAGAATTATTTAAACAATTAAATACAATTTGAGTTAAATAGAATTTTCTCATTCTGTTTATCTGAAGGCCACGTTAACTACTATTAGCCTATTTTTTTCATGATAATCTTTTCTTAGTTTCTTAGTCTTTTCAAATGTTTTAATCCCTTTTCTTAAGGAATTTCCACTGAGACAACATAGACTATCATTGTTATTTCTAGTTTATTGATTCAGTGAGTTTCATTCATTTTTCATTCAACTAATAGTTATTAGTCAATCAGTATAATAATATAGAATGCCAAGCACTGTTAATATTATGGTGAGATATTACTGAAGAAAACTGATTAAAACACTAGGGAAAGGAGTTAGGGATATACAGAATTCTATGGGTACACATAGCAGTGGTATGATACACATAGCTCTGGTATGATAGGAGGTCAGGCAGGGGGCAGTAATGAAAGAAGCATGGTCTTAGTTGAACCCAAGTTTTGAAAAGGAATTACCCAGAATAAAGAGGAAAAGGTATTTCAGACAAAGTGTGTATGAAAGTCAAGATGTAACCAAGAATTGACAGGCACTAGGACCTGAAAGAAGAACAGAATTGTGCTGGACATAGAATGCATGAGGGGAAAAGAAATGGGTGCGTGTTAGGCAGGGACTGGGATTTTTAAGGCATATCAAGAAATTTGATCTTTACCCTGAAAGCCAAAGACATTGAAGATTTTGTCCTTCCAAAGGGAGTATTGGAAACATATTTGTTTTTTTAAAAAAAATAATCTTGCTACACTTTGAAGAGTAGATTTGCGAGACTAAGACTGGATCCAAGGAGATCATTTGAAAGTCTACTATAGTCCAGCATATGGATGATGGTGGCTTTCATGAGCTTGGTGATCTTGGGAATGAAGTTAAGTGCACAGACTAGAGACATATGTTTTAAAGCAGAATTCACAAAACTTTGTTACTACGTGGCTCTGGGAAGTGAGGGAGAAAAAGGAGTCAAAGATAACCACCAAGGTGGTTTCTTAGATTGAGTAGATAGTCGTTCCAATAAAGAAGGAAACAAACATGAGCAAACTGATCAGTTTGGTTTTGAACATTTTGTGTCTGAGGCAGCTGAATTAGAGATGTCAAGTAAGAAATTAAAATGCACAAGTCTAAGGCTTAAAGGTCTGGCTGGTCTATCAGCAACTGGGTAGTTCCTGCAGCAGTGGGAGTGTGCAGGGTCCCCTGGAAGAAAGTTAACACTGAAAAGAGGAGAAGACCTGGGGCAGATCCGTGCCAAACACCTCAAGAGAAAAGCATAGGAAATTGCCTGGGAAAGAGATCGAGAATAGGCAGCCAAGAAATGTCAAGAATGTTTTAGGAGGAGGCTGTGGTTGATAATTTTAAGTGATTTGCTTAAAGGTCCTGTATTAGTTCTATAGAACTAACATAACAAAATATTAAATGCTACGTGAATTGAATAACAGAAATTTAGTTTTTCATACTTATGGACGCTGGTAATCCAAGATCAGGGTGCTGGTAGAATTGATTTCTCCTGAGATCTCTTTCCTTGGCTAGCAGATGGCCATCTTCTCACATGGCCTTTTCTCTGTGCATATGCATTCCTGGTGTCTCTTCCTCTTTTTATAAAGGCACCAAGTCGTGTTGGATTAGGGCCCCATCCTTATGACTTTGTTAATTATCTCTTTAGAGGCCCTATCTCCAAATACAGTGACATTGGGGGTTAGGGCTTCAATATATGAATTCTCGGGACATAATTCCGTCAATAACAGGCCCCTTGTGGGAAATGGTGATGTAGGGGTTAGCTTTGACTTCCTTTGTCATCTAGTCCAGTATTATTTCTACTAGAGCACACTGTATGATATTTAAATTATAATTTTATTTCTAAACTCCATCCAGAAAACTGTAAATTCTTTGTGTTCCAAGTTTTTATTGATAGTTGCATCCCACAGTAATTGCCATAGCATTCAATAAAATGATACATTAATTAATACATCATTAATTAAAAGATATATATGGAGTAAAATCTATATCCACCCATTTTAATATAAATTACCATTTCAGTTAGTAATGAGCAGCCCTTAAAAGTTACTGTCACTGCCATGTACCCTTTTATAAAGTATAAATGGATATAAGCTAGTGATCTCTTAGGAAGAATAAAAGCACCATAAGAAGAGAGAAGTCAAATACTAAAAATAAAGAGACTATATAAAAGAGTAAGGGGATTGTGTATATATGTACATACCATCTCTGCTTCATCTATTCTCTCCTCCTTTACTCTGTTTCTGAATCCTATTACTTCACAGCAAAGCCACTCTGGAAATTATACATGGACAAATGATAGGCTGAACTACAAAGGATCGATGGCAGGAATGGGAGGGGTGGTTCCACTTGTGAGATGTTACAGTTTGTAAACAAAAAGCATTGATGATTGACAACTTGATAGCACATAAATTAATATCAGAACTCTGAGCAAAATTAAAGTATAGTGACATTTTCAGTTGCCCTAGAAGAAATTTTCTTTTTGATTAGCTCTTCCATTCCTATGTCTCATGTCCTCATGCCCTTTCAATAATCATTTTGGTCAGAATTGAGAAACAAAGAGATAAATTCATTGATAGAGGAAAGAGGTTACATGAAGATTTTTTACGTGGATGGAGACGAAGATCAGAGATAACAAGCATGCAAAGTCAGTGTATCAGATAATAATAGAAAGCTACATGTAAAACACAGACCAGGAAATGACTTTATTTGTTACAGTGCTCAAACAGTCATTTTCTTATTAAGAAACATGCTCTTTCCTAGCCACAGGATATCTCCTTGCTACTTTTGCTGGCTGGAACGTAGGATACATATTTCATTGGTCTCTGTTCCTGAAATCTGTGGCTTGAAACTTGGAGGGCAGAAAGGTCATTAGATTTAGCTGGCCTAAAATAATACTGTGTGAACCAATTTCAATTGTCAAGTGAAAGCATTGGCTTGGAATCTAAAAGCCTGCAATTCACTGGAATGAAGTAATTGACATCTTTAAAAATGTTAAATTTATTTGCAGCTTGTAGGAAAATGTGTAGTCTATACAAAAACAAGAACTGTGTTTTAAGAGAAAGGTATTATTGTAAGCCTGACATTGGATTTTAAAATACTTCTCATATTTTGTATAACTTAATTATTTATCAGTAATTACTCCTTATCCCTCACTTCCATCCAGGCATGAGATTTTATGTTAAGTTCTGAATCACCAAGCAAATTTTTCAGAAAAGGAATTGTTGAAACTTTAAAATTTGCTAATCCCAGTGTAGAAAGTCTCCTACATTCTTCCCTGTATCCAGTATATTGCTGCATAACTGTAGGTATAACTCCTTTACTTTAGCTGCCAACTGATAAGATCAGGACTTGTTTCAAAATTCTAAGTTAAGAGAGTTGTTGTTTATAAGGAAAATGTTATTAATATTTTATCTATGCACCCTTAAGGGTACTCAGGACAGATACTTTTCTCATACATGATCTCTTATATGTGTTTGAACTTTTGTCTCAGTCTTACGTAATGTGTGCCTCTGAAGAATAATTGGGAAACCATGGAATGGCCATTGTAGGGAGCTCAGGATTCATTTAAATGAGACTACTAACATAGAGGATTTCTCTCCACCAACAGACCTCAGCTGAGCTAAGGTCTTCCAAGCTCCTCAGATTCAAAATAAAGCAGTCATTCATTCTACTTAATAAAAATTATTGTTAGTAATTTTTAGATAGACATTGGAGTTCTGATGTAAAACAATTTATCACACAAACTTGGAACAAGGAACACATAATCCTTTTAACTTTTTGGATCACTTAGATGAAGGCTCTAACCTGTTTAAATGATCTGCCTATTGTAGGACAACCCACAGCAATAAGAAATTTGATATTTCCTGGGGCAGGCTGCAGCTCTCGAAATTTACTCTTGGATGTATATATGAATTCTGAATGTAAGCAGGAGACGTATACAAACAGCCCCTGTAGTTTGACTTACAATTTTTTAACTGTATGATGGTGAGAAAGCGATACATATTCAGTA